GAGGAAGACAGAAATCAGACTTCTCTTGGCTTTCAGTGTACTTGGGCTATTTGTCCCATCTGGATCTACAATCCATGCCTCAGAAGACATCTGTCTTTCCCTCTGACAGTGGCTCTCTGTACCTCTCAGAGTAAATTTCCCAGTGTGTCATGACAGTCTGTGTTTTAAGTCATATCATTTCCACCATGATCTTCTGGCACGGTGGAAATACCCATCCAGCTCCTTCATAGCAAACAGAAGCCCAGTTCTGTGTGGTCTCGATCACTCTCATTGTCTTGGCATTTTTTGTGTGGTCCATTCATTTTCATAATGGGAAGTTGGCTAATTGGAGGCAACGACAAGGTCTTTGTGCTCCTTGTCATTCCACAAGGAATGCTGCTGGCTCGAGTCAGACACCTGATGACTGCTACAGAGGAAATTGGATTAATTTATGTGATGACTGCTAGTGTTCCAACTAAAGAAATGCCAGAATAACCATGAGTTTTAGAAAATACTTGTTTAAAGATATTAACCTAGTAAGTAATTCAGTAAAATCTGTTGCTCATTCTCCTTGTGCCTGGTTCACTGGGGGAAGAAAAGAGACCTCATCTGTGTTTCCTAACCATGGGAAGTTATGGTGACATTCCCAGACATGGACACATAATTCATAATAGCTCTATGTGAGGGGGATGGAATGAGCAGAGAGGAAGAAGGGCACACGCAGTGGGGATGTATTTTCTCTACCTGAGAACAAGAAGGCCTGGCAGAGATGATGGTGTTGAAAAAGTCCCAGTACAGACAAAGAGAATCCCAGGAGGCAGGGAAGGGGGCAGGTGTGGGAGGAGAAGAGTGTTTGAGGACAGAAACTGGGGAGCATTATGTTTTGGGAGCATCAGAGTGAGGTACCTTTGAATACAAGTTAGTGGGTCATACAAAAATGGTAGGTGGATTTCAGGCCAGTACTGAGACACACTAAAGCCAAACAGGCAATGTCTGGACAGATTCAGGATCAGAGCCAATACCCTCTGCCAGGAGGGAGGAGCCATCAGGCATTGAGGGCTAGTTGAAGAACTGAGGAAGAGATTATGACCTCAAACGCAGGGCAGTGGTGTTCTGACAGACCAGTGGGTTTGAGAAGTAAGTACCAGAGAGTTTTGAAAATGCCAAATACTGGATGGAGCAGAGGCCAGGAGGACATGAGAATTCAGGAGTCCAATACCGTTCTTCACAGGCAGAATCCATATTAACCAATATCTGAATAGAGAACAGCCAGAGAGTCATGGGAGAACCAAGAGACTGCAAAGGGCCGGCTTCTAGGACAGAGTCCAGGTGTGGACAGAACTGCAGCTATCACCCTCTGAACCTGAAGGGTACATAGGAGCCTTGGGGCTTGTGGGAAGAACAGGTGGGCAGTGGCTGTCTTCATTGAGATCTAATCAGGCTCAGGGGTGGGGAAATAACAGAGCTGGGTGCTGACAGAGCCAAGGTAGAGCTGGCCCACGCTTGCTTTGCTGGAGGCTGTGTAATTTGGAAAAAATAGTTTTGTAAAGCAATTTGCATACCATTGGGTCAAACCACTTGACCCTGTATAGTTCAACATGCAGAAAGTTGCCTCAAGAAAATGGCTCAAAAGCATAAAAGAGCTGTGCTCATCTATCCAAACACTAACTAATTAATCTAACAATAACCAAATGTTATGCCTTCGTATGTGGACATTCCAGTGAACATGTTCACCACGGCTGAGCTTTGGAAAGTAGAGGAAGCACTCTGAATTCTACCAGAGGCCTTAATGGCTAAACTCTGTATGAGAAAACCCGGTGATGGGCTCTTGTACTTCGATGCTCCATGCCACCACCAGAATTCAGTTCTTGATTTTTCTGTGTCACCTTTAAAGAATTTAGAATGATATTAAACAAGGCCTGAAGACAAATCATTTGAATTTCCCCAGGCTGTCCATTTGGGGCTGTTTCTGTCAGTCCCATTCTGAGCATTCCCCCACCCCACCAGTTTTTACATATCCAAGATAACACTCAGCGTCTGCTGAGCCCCATGTGCCAGGAAACTTGTCAGGTACTCTGCTAAGCATTGCTCATTCATTTCTTTTTGACAGAAGTCCCGAGGTGACAACCTGGTCACAGTCACTTCACAGTCAATCACACTGAGCCTTGGAGGCATTAGTAAACTTGCTAGATCAGTAGCTGGGGCAGGGCACATTCAGAAGCCATGCCTGGCCCTGAGGCCCTGGGATGCAGTGGGCTGTCTGTCATAATGTAATGGAAATAAACTGCTTTCTCAGTGAGAAACACACTTAGAGATGAAGGAAAGCTCTTTATTAGTGCTTGGCTGTCTGGGGCTAATGGCCAGTGAAGAGTCGACTCCCCAGTACAAGGTTTCATTAGCTTCCATGCAACTCAGGTTATGCATTTTACATACGCTGCCATCCCTACATCTCTCTTAGGTCCAGGCCCCAGGTTCCATTTCAATAGCTTAAACAGAGTCAGGAGACTGCAAGTCTGCCTGCTTAGGCAGGTAGGAGATTTACACAGCAAATATGTTACATATTGCCAGAATTATTTTAAGCATGCCACTGTTCTCTTTCAAATAGTTGCTAGCCAGGGCCATCTTGCCATCTGGCAGGATTATGTCTTTCCTGATAAGAGCACAGGGGGTTTAATGGCAGCACATGACTTAATGATAGTGGCCCTGCGCTGCCCCCCTTGTGCTGCCCCTTAGAGGTATGTCTTTATAGTGGGAGTGGAGTCTGTCTTCATCACTGTTCTGTTGCTGTCAAAAGAACATGGCAGCTCTTACAAGAGAAAGCATGTAATTGGGGCTGGCTTATAGTTTCAGAAGTTGAGTCTATTATCATCAAGGTGGGGAGCATGGCAGCGTGCAGGCAGACACGGTGCTGGAGAAGGAGTTCTACATCTGGATCTGCAGGCAGCAGGGCCTGGCTTGGGCTTTGGAAACCTCAAAGCCCACCCTCAGTGACACACTTCCTCCAACAAGGCCACATCTCCTAATCCTTTCAAATAGTGCACTCCCTAGTGACCAAACATTCAAATCTATGAGCCTGTGGAGCCATTCTCTTTCAAACTGCCACATAGCCTAATGACTGGCCAACCCCAGTAAATACGCATTTACATCCTTGCACCTTAAATTTCTCTTATCTCTAACAGGCTGGTTAGCATGCTACTTATTTGGGGGCGGGGTGTCTTAGAGGCAGTGCTCCTATACCTATTTTACTTGTCTGATTTAATGTTTACTAAGCAAATCTATCAGTAAGTCCTTTATAATACCAATTATATCACTTTGAGTTTCTTCTGCATCAATAATACTCCATCCAAGAGCTATAAACTAACAAAATCCCCAGTGCCAGCCAGGCATAAAAAATCTCCTGTTGAGCTGTTGGCCAGGGCAGTAGAAGAGACTCCCCAAAGATAGGTTACTGCGGTTGTCCTTAGTTTCCTCCCAGAATGTGAATGTAAAACCCTATTGCTGAAGACACCACATGCACTAGACATAAGACTTAGATGAACCGAGCTGGCACTGACTTGGAAGCTCTTCCCTGAGGACCAGCTGTCTTAGCAGCAAAAGGTGTTACACAACCTGCCAAAGGAGAAAAGTAATCAATAGTCCTGCCCAACTGTAAAGCCACAGCAATGAGATGGCAAGATATCCCCAAGGGTGCAATCATGGCACTTATATTTTGGGGGCAACCAACAACTGTCTAATTGGATTGAAGACCTGCTCAATAGGAAGGAATTCATGCCTGATAATATAAAGCTCGCCAACTACTCATGGCTGGTGAGGTATTGGACCCTAGAGGAAAACATATTACTTCCATTTCCACACCAGTATAATTCCTAACTGCATTCTAATACTTACCATTATATCCACAGATGATTGTGGTTCTCACCCCTCATCAAAGAACTTCTTTTGGCAGCAGTTGGAGATCATTATAGAAGTTCACATCTGGTCCAAAATTCAGAGAACAACTGACATGTGGTGCCCAACCCCAAATAATACATCGAAAACACAAACATGAAAGAGGGGGTGGGCAAAAGACTGTAGGAGCTGGGATGCCAGAACCTCTGCTGGGAGGTAGTGTCCGCTGTGTATGACCGGGAGTATATATCCATGCACGTTCAAAACTGTGGTCAAATAAGCATGACCTGAACAATGGCAATGCCACTTGACATGCCAGTGTTGATACAGGAAATCTTACCCCTAGATGAAGAGCTACAGGCCATCAATGGCTTCTGAGAGAGAGAGAGAGAGAGAGAGAGAGAGAGAGAGAGAGAGAGAGAGAATTAGTCTTCCCAATCCCAGGGACAAGTCCCTCTGATAGATTATGCAATCCCAAGTGGGCAGCCCTAAACAAATACATAGAGCAAAACTAAATGCACTGAATGGATTTAGCAGTGTGTGTGTGTGTGTGTGTGTGTGTGTGTGTGTGTGTGTGTGTTTGTGCACTTGCATGTGTAATGCATGTGTATATAAAACAATAATTAGAGCAGAAGAGATGATGAATTTGAGGGAGTAGCAGGGCACATGGGAAGAGCTGGACGTGGAAGAGCGAGGGACATAAATGATGTAAATACAATATTCACGTATGAAATTCTCAAAAATTATATTAAAAATGAACAATATGTTTAAAGAAAGAAGGAACTGGAGAGATTCCTTAGTGGTTAGGAACACTGAGTACTCTTCCAGAGGAACTGGTTTTGATTGGATTCCCAGGGACAATACAGCGGCTTACAACCACTTGTAACTTGGGTCCCAGGGGAATCTAATGCTCTCATTGGCCTCCAAGGGCACTCATGCATGTGGTACACAGACATACATACAAGCAAAACACCCATGTGTAAAATAATAATAATAATAATAATAATAATAATAATAATAACAACAACAACAATAATAATAGTTTTAAAAAGAGAAGAAATGTGCAAAGCCTCTGACTACCCATTGACTCAATGTTCAGAATAACTCAGGGGCCCCACATTTCTTCTTCTCAGCGGTGTTCGGCCAGCGCCTGGATGAGACTGTGGCCTATGAGCAGAAGTTCGGCCCTCACCTGGTGCCCATCCTGGTGGAGAAGTGTGCAGAGTTCATCCTGGAGCATGGTGTGAGTGAAGAGGGCATCTTCCGCCTGCCTGGGCAGGACAACTTAGTGAAGCAGCTGAGAGATGCTTTCGATGCGGGGGAACGGCCTTCTTTTGACAGGTATGCTGTCCTTACCCGCACTGTCCCATCTACCTCTACCCTGCCCAGATGACGGACAGAGGACCCAGTGGAGCCAGGAGCCTTCAAAGGCTTCAAAAGCCCTGGATCACAATAGGAAGAGGAGTTCTGTTCAACACCCTGGGCTTTGGGACCTGGGCACAGTTAGGAGAGTGTGCAGACAATTTATACGACACACTATGTTCTGGGCAGATTCAGGGGATGCTTAGGAAGGACATGAGGGAAGGGGAGATACGGAGCTTCGGGGAAAAGCTGAGGCTTAGCCTAGGAACACTCAGCACCCCCATCATGCAGATGAGAAGCATGAAGAGTGTAAACATGTGGGAGAGGACCGCCCCCTCTGTGTCCACAGGGACCAGCAGTCTTCTCCAGCATCCCAGGAGTGGCCACAACTAGTAATTCTCCTAAGTCTCCAAGACCACAATACTGTGTGATTCTAAACTCAGCTCTGAGTCATCTGGAGCCATGCCCCACCATGGTAGCCTGGTATTCGCTCTTATCCTCACCAAAGGTTTTCCAGCCCTACACGAGGCACATTTGGTGTGGTGACAATTCCTGCAGTCAGTTTCTCTTGCTCTCCAGGCACCCAACATGGATGTCCTTCTCTACTATGCAGCTGGTGCAGCCCCACCACACACTGCATGCCCAGCTGGTGCAGCTCCAATACACACTGCATGCTTAGCAGGTCCAGGCCCACATTCACACTGCACACTCTGTTGACTGTGCAGTACCTGACTGCCTGCGTGCACTTGTCCTGCTGGCTTAAGACGGATCACTCTTACCAAGTCAGCAGCTCAGCAAACAGGATTTGGTACAATGGGCCTGAACACTCCCCAGTTTACACATGTTGAAATCCCCTAGAGTTATTTAGGATGGAGGGGAAGTTAAGAAGGTCTGAGTCATTCTTATGCAGAAGTCTCCTCGTTCTTCCCCTTCAGCCCCTTCTGTCCACCGTGCAGTTGTTTTTCCTCCAAAGCATCTCTGAGGCCCATAGGTTTCTCCCTATGCCTACTCTGCCACGGTCTTAGTTTGGCCCACAATATGACTCTCTCTTCCACCCTTAGCAGTCTATAGGCTAATTTACCCATGTGGTTTAGACAAGCAGCAGTATAGTTTCCACTGGAACCACAGCAAGTTATGGGCCCTTTGAACAGCACAATCATAGTTCATAAGCAGGCGTCTGTTCAAGAATGCTCACCTTCATTGTATTCAATTTTCTTTTTCATTTTGAAATTATGTTTGGGTTGATCAAAAGATATAATTGGTTTATTGCTTAAAGAGTAAAGTCAGGATGCCAAAGGAAAGGACAGAGGTTATTATGGGATTTGCCAAATAACCCCTTGGATGCCAGTTTGAGTTCTGCCAGGTCAGTGTCCGGAGTGGCGCTGTAGTCTTTGATTCCCATGAAATTCGGGAGCCCAGAAGGAGGAGGAAAGCTGCCCCCTCACATACATGCAATCACACACAATGCACACACACACATACACAATCTCACACACACACACACACACACACACACACACACACACACACACACACACACACACACACACATAATTTCTCTCACACCCACACAGAGGGGAGAGAGAGAGAGAGAGAGAGAGAGAGAGAGAGAGAGAGAGAGAGAGAGAGAGTCATTCCAGGGCCATCTCCTGGGTCCACATGCCCCTTGAGTGGACAAACCTTGTTTGGAGAAGAATATAGGATTTCTTTTTTTGTTCTTGTCATTTAGCTAACTTCCAACATGTTTAGGGCCAAGGCTAAGAGTGTGTCCCAGCACCTATAGGTGACCATGGCTTAGCACCTCACAGGCTTTTGCCACAGGCACAGCTGTGGAGTAAGCTACACCTCTCCTATAGTTACAGCTTTTCTGAACCCTGAACATATTTTTTACTTTTGGGAGACCGGCCTCCAGAGACAGGAGAAGCAGGAGAGAGAAGCAAGGAAAGAGTGGGAGAGAGAGGAAAGAGGGGGAGGGGGAGAGGAGCCGACAGAGAGGGGGAGGGAAAGAAAGAGAGCGGAACATAATTTTTACCAGTCAGTTACAGGAGTTGGAAGGTCAAGAAGGCCCTTCCTGGCACCTCCAACCTTCCTGGGGCCAGTGGGTGGTCCCTAGTTCTTTCACAAAGTCATACCCTTATTTCTGTCAGATCATCTGCTACTTTTTCACCTGAACAAAAGAAACACGGGTCTCTTGCTTGATGAGATTCTCACCAAATAGAGAAAAACAAATATAAAGCCTCCTGTATGGCTAGGGCAGGTGGCTCAGTGGCTAAGGAAGAAGAAAAGATGAGGGTGGGGGTTCAGATCCAAGAAGAAAAGATGAGGGTGGGGGTTCAGATCCCCACCAGTGAATGGCAGGGCACGGTGGCCTGTCTATAATCCAGTCCTCCAGAAGCAGGGACAGGAGACCACCCTGAGCTATCCGGATAGCTAGACTAGCCAATCTTTGAGCTTTTGTGTTCATGTGAAGGACCTTGCCTCACTACATAAGGTGGGAAGAAATCAAGGCAGGCCCCCATGTCAACATCTGTCCCCCACAGAAACATGCACGCACATGTATATGTACCCACACACATGTAAACATGCATAAATACACACATCACACACATACACATGCAAAAACTGTTTTAAAAGTCACTGTACTGGTTTTTACTGGACATGGATGCCTCCTGGTCATAACATTGATGTCCCTCCCATCCCTGAGCCCCTCTGTGAGAATGGACAGTTGTACTGCATGGTGCACAGGAGAGCTCCAAGGCAACCTGGCAAGGCCACCTAAGAGGGGTCAGAGCTCAGAACTGACAAAGAAAGTTATTTAATATTGATTCTTTAGTTTGGAGGGACAGTCAACTCAAGAGAAGGAAGTGATCCTGGAGACTCAGACCATGAGGGTGACCCCCAAGTCATCACTAATACAGTGGGGATGACATTATGCCCTCAATACATAGAAATCGGTGCAAGTTCTATTGTGTTCGTGCTAGAACTGACAAGTAGAGATAACAGTATTTAGATAGAGGGAGCCTGACATGGTCTGGTGGAACTAGAGAAGTCCTTGAGAAAATGACATTGATGATGAGACCTAATAAACCAAAATAAGAAGTTGGTCAGGCTAATCTCAGGCACCATCAGCATTATCCTTGTCAAAATTAAGAGTTTCTAAGAATATAATATAATATAATCTCTTTGAATAACCCCTATTGTATTGGTTATAACACTCTTCTTCTTCTTCTTCTTCTTCTTCTTCTTCTTCTTCTTCTTCTTCTTCTTCTTCTTCTTCTTCTTCTTCTTCTTCTTCTTCTTCTTCTTCTTCCTTCTTTTGAGACAGGGTTTCTTTGTGTAGCCCTGGCTGTCCTGGAACTCACTCTGTAGACCAGGCTGGCCTCGAAGTCACAGAGATCCTCCTGCCTCTGCCTTCTGAGTGCTGGTCTTAAAGGTGTATGCCACCACTGTCCTTCCTTTCTATTTATAACTTTGGTTATCTTTGCTGTCTTAGTTTCTTGTGATAAAACTGCTCTTTTTAAAGCTGTAGTTTCTTTTTACAGGTCTGTTTTTCCCCCTTATCACTGATGCTATTTTTCTCACTGAAAATTTCCCCTCTCTGTTCATTCTATGGGTGTGTTTTGTGTGTTGGGGCCATGCCATCAGTGGATAGGATGGAGAGGATGGGGCTGGTGGGGGGGGGAGCAGTGACTATCTGAAGTTAGGTGTAGAAGGAGAAGGGATGTGAGCGATTCATTTGAGATGATGGTTGGGACACGGGATCTTCACTATGTATAGGGTAGAAGAGAGGCCACAAACAAGCCGAGTAACTTGACACAGGGTCATTTCGGATAATTCTTCTGTATATTGCCAGGCCATGGTTCTTTTGTCACCTTCTTGGGTTCCTCTCATCACGTTTTCACCAAAAGTGCTTTCCCTGGATGCATTTTTCCCAGGGGTATTTTTAGACAGTGACTCAATAGGGTAGGATGTTTTTAAATATCTATGTTAAGGGAACATCCCTGGTCCAAATTCCCTGCCTTGGATTGCAGATGGTATCCTATGCAGCTGTGTTCTCCATCAGAGGTAGCAAGTTCACAGGCTTCAGAGGCAGGGGGAGGGTGTAAAGAGCTGAAGGGGTAGGAATGGGGGGTGGTTTGGTGGGTGGGGGTGGTGTGGAAGTCAAAGCCAGAAATTGCCAACTAAGAACAGAAAAAGAAAAGAAAAGAAACACACACATGTTCATGAGTCAAGTTCTGGTATTATTGTTTGCATTCCCTCAAATGTCTCAATGACAGGCCACACAGTACTTCCCATGTAGCTTAGGAGTGGAGCAACCTATACCACCTGGGTTTATGAACATCGTTCCATGATTTTCATACATAGACCAAATTCCCCAATAGCACATTTCTCAGAACATACCCCTTATTAAGTAACACACTGTTATGTGATAGGTTCAGATTTAGTTTCCTTTTTAGCAGAAAAAATGCAACCACTGTGATTCAGGGGCCAACAGACTTCCCAGGCTGGGTCATGCATTACACTCTTAGGCTCTTCAGGGCATTGTCAGCATCTGTGTTCTCTCACAGTAAGGAAGCAGTGACAGTTTGCAAGTGAACAAGCAGGGTTGTGTTCCTCTACAACCTATTTCATTGATAGTGTAACTTTGAGTGCATATAATTTTCACATAATGAGATAGACAGCTTTGGCTCCCCCCCCCAAGCACTTAAAAAATAATCGTTTTCAGCCAGCAGGCTATAAAAATGCAGCTTACAAGCCAGATCTGCCTCCCGAGTTGAGACAACATTTGTTAGAAACATCAGAAGCTGAACCACAGAGCCTTGCCTTGACACTCATCCGAATGTCACAGACCCTCACGGGGGGGACTGGTGTTCCCTCTCTAGGCTTACACACCTGCACTTTTCAGATCTCCCCCACCGCACAATTACACCTTAAGAGTTTCTATCTCTCTCAAGCTGTCCCTTTCTACACTTGTGACCTACTGAGTCCCGGGCTTCTCCCATGTCAGCACCTACCACGATGTTTAGTAACATCTAAGTGTTATGGCCTGATGGAATAGATATTCCCTCAGGTTTACTACCGAAATAATAAAAAGAATGAAAAAAAGCAAGATAAACGTAAGCTTCCTCGTTGGTATGATCAAACGAACTATTGATGAAATATATGACTGTTTTGAGCACTCAGAGCTGTTTTGAATATTCTGGGAGTAAAGGAGAACAATGGGCCAAGGATATAAAGGAGTTCACACATGCAGAAGATGAGAGACTAATTAGACATCGCTAATTGTGAGGTACTAAGTGGTCCGAAGAAATAAGAAAGCAGAAAAAGATCAAAATAATTAAAGAGCATTTAATGAAAAAGTGAACCTTGATGTTACCTTTGAGGCAGCTACGTAGAAACAGAGGAAGTGGCTGGAGTTGTTCCCGGAGCTGGTATCTGGGTCTGGGACTTTCCCAGACTCTGGTCCTTTGTAACTTGTCCCTCTGTGGTTCATGCTTTGACTTGGTGGCACTTTAGGGTAAGTGAGAGGCCTCTGGGTTCTGCTCTCTAAGTGCAGCTTGTTTTCTTTCAGGGACACAGATGTGCACACAGTGGCCTCCCTATTAAAGCTCTACCTCCGAGACCTCCCAGAGCCCGTGGTTCCCTGGAGCCAGTATGAAGGCTTCCTGCTCTGCGGGCAGCTCATGAATGCCGATGAGGCAAAGGTTGGTGTCTCTCTGGGTTGATTGTCCTACTTAGTAGTGACAGTGAGTCATGGGGGCCATACCCCTTAGTAAGATTGTCACATTGGAGCTTCAGAAGCAGTGCCAGGTCCAATGGTGCCATTCTCATTGGCAAAACAGTACAAAAAACCTGGATTTGACTTTCATTCTTTCATTCGGCCAATTATGCACTATTAGTTGCTGCCACAGTTGTGTGGCAAGATGCCAACAAAAGCAACATAAGGAAGGATGGGTTTATTTGGGCTCCGTTTCAAGATACATTGTATGGTGGCAGAGAAGGCGTGACGGCAGGGAAATTGGAGCTGGTCACACTGCGTCCAGTCAGGGTGCAGGCAGAGATGAATGTCCACGCTCAGCTTGCTTTCCCCTTTTTACCAAAACTCCAGACTCACAGTCAGGGTGGGCCTTCCCTCCTCCACTAGAGCTCTCTGGACACACTCTTGCAGATGTACACAGAAGTCTGGCTCCATTGGTCATTCTACAGCCACCTCGTACATAGTCTGTGAGGCTCAGTATATTTACTTAAAGCAATAGGATTTCTGTGGTGATGTAACCTCTAGTCACATGTGATAGCATGTCCACAAAATATGGCTAATATACCAGAAGAGCCACATTCTTAATTTTAATTAAAGTGAGTAGCAACATGTGACAATTGGCACATATGTTGGGCAGCACAAACTTAGACAATGCTCTTGTCAGCTTTTCCTGGGATTGTTTGGAGGACCAAGGCATGAGAAACTAACTAGTAACTTCAAGATTTTTTTTTTTTTTGAATTGGGTAGTTCCCTATTTTTCAGTATCTGTGATATAGTCTGAGTCTCAGGATATCCAGGGCAGTGAGAAAACAGACTTCCCTGTCTGGACTGCTGGTGGGGAGCCATGATTATGAAGAGCCTGGCACAAAGGAGCATTTTACATCTCAAAGCAAGGATAGAAAGAGGACTTTGATGATGCAGCCAACGTGTAGCTGTTTTTCAAGAAAAAATAAGGCCTCACAGTCTACCTGAGTTGTGGGTGTTGTAGGGGAGAGAGAGGATATGAAAGCCCTTGATTTACAGGGGCATTTCAGATCTCCTTTGTGAATGATATAAAATAAAACTTGAAAAACACCTAAAAAGAGTCATGCTAGATGCCATCCCACACATCATCAGAGGGTGCTCACAGGCTCGGTGGGTAGCTGCAGCTGGCAAGAGCAATGAGCCCATCCTTTCTCTCCCTGGCACAGGCTGTCTGTGAATGGCCACCTCTGACATCTATAGCTATGGTAGAACTTGAACCGCCCAATCCCAGTGTGTGCCTTCCAGCTCAGCCAGTCTGGCCTACATCCCAGAAGTTCTCAGCAAGACCATGGGGCTTTAAAGTCACCACAGAAGAATCCCTTTCTCATCGCTTTTGCAGTCACTCTGAGATATTAGATTGTGGTTTGATTGTTTTTTGGATCATTACACTGCATTCATTGAGCAAGCCATCATGAATGTGAGTTTTCAGGTAGTCTGTTCTTACAGATACTCAAGGTCAGGAGTGGGTGGGCGACATTATTACTAACAGACTTTTTAAATGCGTGGTAGAAAAAAATATAGCAGCTGGGAATGTAGCTCAGTTGGTAGTCTGCTTGCCTAGCATGTATAGAGCCCCGGGTTTCATCCTCAGCCTGGCACACTCTGGGTAAGGCAGCACACACTTGTAATCTCAGCACTCCTGGATGCAGGAGGCTCAGAAGTTCAAGGTCATTATTGGCTACATAGGGAGTTCAAGACCAGTCTGGGCTTCAATTCATAGTTTATGAATTCCCAGAATTTTAATTTCAAAATATTTTAATTCGAAGACCTGTGTGGGAACAGGAGTGACAAGCAAAGTGTTTTTCCTGCACAGACACACCAGCTATGTCCCTACGTTCATTGCTAATGATCCGGCAGCAGGATTGCTTACTAGTGTCAAAACTCTCTTCCCAGGCTCAGCAGGAGTTGGTGAAGCAACTTTCCATTCTTCCTCGTGACAACTACAGTCTCCTGAGCTACATTTGCAGGTGAGTCTCCCATGTGGAATCACAGTCTCCAGACACAGCAGAAAGGAACCCTAGTTAGTAGAGGAAGCCATTTCTCTCAGATCATAGATTCTGGTGCAGAACTGTAGGTCAACTCCATTCACGCAGCACTGAGCGGGCGTTCGTTCTTTCTGCATGAGATCATCGGGGATCCCTAAGAACCTGCACACAGAGTGAACATATTCCTTCCTTCTGACCTGCCCCAGAGCATGCAAGAGAACAAAACGAGCACCCTGAAGACATTCATTCTAGGCCACCATTTATATTTTCTGAAGCCCTTTCTGAGGATCTACTGGGTGAGGTGCTTGCAGGTGGACCAGCCCAGATCTGCTGTGCTGGGCATCTTCACCCCATACATACCTCAATTTTGTCTTTGATTTTTCAAAAATAAAAAACACTGTGATACAATTTCTAAATTATAAAGATGTTTCTGACTTAATCTGGAAACCACAAAGATAGAACAACTGTAAATAAGAATCAAAACTAGATGCAACCCCCTGTCTAGTGACATCTCCTCTTGAGTGTTTTCTCTTCTCATGAATCTTATCTTATATCCGTGTAACTATGGAGGAATGCTTTAGATCCAACTGAAAAGTGTGGCCTTTATCATAAAATAAATTATCCCATAATATGTCATTTTTCATCATGTGAATATATAATTTTTTATTTTTCAAATTTGAAGTTTTATGGTATTTCAGTCTAACCACTTTCCAATGTTTTGCTTGTTTGTTTGTTTTTTAAATCCAGAATTCCCTTACTGATGTGCTAAGTCATTTTGTTTTTTCCAACCATCTGAGGATTTCAGGCCTCTGATGGGTGGAAGTATAGTGGAACTTGCTGGTTAAGCACCGGGCACCTGCTGAGAGAGAGATACCCCACTCTCCAGTCAGAGGATGAGTGTGAGGAGGCACTATGGATTCCCCCGCCATCTCTGAGACCTCCTCACTGACACATTTTTTTCTCTTTAGAGACATGGATGGGGTGGATACTGAGAAGCGAATGGTAAAAGCAAAACACTGAAGCTGTTGAAACATCTGAGTCCTTCTAGTCACCTCTTCTTCCCAAACAACCTCTGCTGTGAGATTTTCCACCTCCAGCCCACACCTCCCCTGGCTCCTCACCCCTCCTTAGTCTGTGAAGTTCCAGATTCCAGTTAAACTCTTGCAGGCAGAGCCAGTTCACTCCATTCCTGAAACAGGGGAAAGAGCTAGGATTCAACAAGTGTACCGTTGGGTTCAGGGATTGCTCTCTCCTGGCCACTTCCTGTTGTCTAAGGCGGGGTTTCCTGGCTGCCCACAGATTTTTGCATGAAATCCAGCTGAACTGTGCCGTCAACAAGATGAGCGTGGACAACCTGGCCACTGTGATTGGAGTGAACCTCATCAGGTCAAAGGTGGAGGACCCAGCTGTGATCATGAGAGGTACATAGGCCGATCCTCCTATGGAGAGGCGCCCAGGACGTGACAGGGAGAACACTGCCCCCTAGTGTCAGTGTCTTGCTTTGCAGCTTACCAAGCTTGCCACTTGCCATCTCTTCTGACTGGTATTAACAGGAATTATATCTCCTGCCCAGTGGACACACAGCACATTAGTCTAACCTCAAACCAATTCACTGGTATTTCCCAGTCTTTTGCATGACTTTAAAATACCCTTAGCCAAGAAGGGCAAACAGGGTTTTGTTTTATAAGCCTGTTTACAAAAAGGCTGCTGTAAAGCTAGGCTGAAAAGTTTTCCAAGGTTGTGTCTTGGCTTGATCAAAAGTCCTGGCCAGGCGGACTCGTGTCTGCCATGAACGTGGCAAGGAAGTGTTCCTGACACACATTGGCTTGGGGTGCAATAAGAGGACAGACGTCACATTGAAGACCATAGCAGGAAAGAAAGTTGCCTGTTCTCTTGACTGGTAAAACCTGATTCAGGCAATATAGGTGGAAAATGTCCTCAACAGCTCTTTGTTCACCCTTCCCCTAATATGTCTTTATTTTAGTACATCTTCTCACCAAAAATATTCTACTCCAAATAATTAAGAAGGGTCTCATGAAGTGCAAATGAGGCCTGTGGTTTTCTGGCTAGTGTGGGAGCACCCTCACGGAGCGTGGCAACCCTGGAGCGCTTCCAGGCTCCTGTTCTATGGACCAGCACTACAAGTCTCTTATTTCCTTCAGGGACTCCTCAGATCCAAAGAGTGATGACCATGATGATCAGAGACCACGAAGTCCTCTTCCCCAAGTCTAAGGATGCGCCACTGTCACCCCCTGTCCAGAAAAATGATGCTAAGAAGGCTCCAGTGCCCCGGAGCTCTGTAGGATGGGATGCCACAGAAGACCCACCACTCTCCAGGACAGACAGCTTCAATAACACGGTAAGACACCTGCTGCCCCACCAGACTCTTCCTTCAGCCTGGTCATTCTGAGGCAGTGACAGATGAGCTGGAACAGATCCATCAGAATACATTGGGAAAACCTGGGGCTAGTGACGTGTGTGAAAATTGTCTGAAGGCTGGGTCTTGGGACCGTTCCTGAAATCTTCTCTAAGACAAAATCCCAGGAAGTTCAACAGAAAAAATAAACGCAGCATTGCATGTTTAAGAGCTGCTGAACATTCCGAGGGCAAGTCCAGAGGGGGTGATGATTCTGAACGTGGTTCCTTCCTCAGAGCAGGGGATGTGTTCGTGTAGTCATCCTCATTCCCTGATAAGCTGTCTCAGCAGTGTCAGCCCCCGGCCTGGACAGAAGGCTCAGAGCTCACGTTCTCAGTGTTGCCAAACTATGTAGTCTCCAAAATATAGACTATTAGAGGGTGACACTGACAAAGGTCAAATATTTTCATGTATTTATAGGAACAGATGTTTTTAAAAAAGGATATGGAGACTTTTTATAGCAGCTTCTTTTTTTTATTTTAAATATGTGGCCAAGTAAAAAAAAAAAAAAACAAATTTCTAGTTGTCCAAGAAAGCCACCTATGATGTTGTTAAAGATGAGAGAGAGAGAAAAAAAACCAATAAATTGTTGTGGTTGGAGGTTTTGTGTTTTGTTTTGTTGAATCACCTTCCTAACATTCTAAAGCTAATTACAATTCAAAGCGATGCAGGTTTTGTTAGTAAACCCCGCCCCCCCCCAGTCCTTGACAGCCATGGCTCTGCTCCATTACAGTGGCCCTGTAATGACAGGACAACCGCTGTGCTGAGAAGGTAATTGGGTCAGCTCTGGAACTCTGCACATTCACTGTAGCTGAGGATCTGAGGCCAGAGAGGTTGATCAAGGTGGCAACTCTAGAGCAGGGCATCATGCCCGAGGTCCTAGTGCTACTGCTGGAGCAGGGGATTGGCTAGAAAGTACCTCAGCCCCTGACTTTCCCATCTGAGATGGGACTCTTTTTTTCTCTCTCTTTCTTTTCAATTTGATTTTACATACAACCACGTGGTCCAAAAACACCAAATCCTAATAAGTTAGCATCTGAGAAGTTCTGCTCCATGCCTGTGTTTGTTCTTACATGATTGCTGTGAGAAAATACCTGGTAAGAGCTCCTTAGGAAAGTAAAGGTTCAGTTAGCTTACTGTGGCTGGACATTACAGTCCACAAAGGCAGAGAAGCCATGGCAGCCAGGGCTTGGTGCAGCTGGCCACAGTGTATTCACAGTCAGGAGCAAAGAGATGAACTCTGGTGCTCAGCTCCCAATCTCCTTTTTCTTCAGTCCAGGATGCGAGGCCCTGTGATGGTTCTGCCGGCAGCTGAGGTGGGTCTTCCCGCCCCTGTTAATTTACTCTGTTTCTCACAGGCATGCTCCGAGAGGATCGTCTCTGTGGTGATTCTAGAGTATGGCATTGACCATCACACTTCCCTCCTCACTCTCTTCAGTCCTTCCTTTATGCAAATATAAGAAGATGTAAACAGAGACTGTTTTCTTATCTCTCCCTTTTGCACAAAATTATATTTTTTAAATATTCTGTATCTCACATTTTAAAACTTACCAATATTATCCTAGAGACAATAGCACATATTGGTATAGATAGCTACCAACATGACCTTATTTTTTGGCAACTATTTGATGTTCCATTCATTGGCTACACTGTGATCCCCTCCCCAGACCTGGAATGAACAGGTCAGTTCTGCACCACAAACAGGGCTGACGTAAATCATCCTGCCCACACTTTGATTTGTATGCAGACAGATACAATTCTGGGATAAATTCTCAGAAATGGGAGTAGTGAGCAAGAAGATAAATATATTTAGACATGTAATTTTCATAAATGTTACTAGCATCTGTGACATTTTATACTTTCACAGCAGTACATGAGAAGATCTGTCTTTCACCAAGTGTGCTGTCACTTTTAGGGACGTCCCTATCTCATAAAGAACTGATAATTTAGTAATTTCAACCCGAGTTTCTCCTATTATTATGAAAAGAGGCTAAACATCCTTTTATTAAAGTGTCATGGTCAGTTCATTTTTTTCCTTTGTGAACTATTTGTTTTTTTTTTGTTCTTTAAATATTTATTTATTTTATATGTATGTATGTGTGCTTGCTTGAATGTATGAGCACCGACTGCATGCAGGAGCCTGCAGAGGCCAGAAGGGGGCATCAGACCCTGGGAACTGGAGTTACAGGTGGTTGTGAGCTGCTTGTGGGTGCCAGAAACTAAAGGGTCATCTGCAAGAGCACATGCTGCTAAACGCTGAGCCATCTCTCCAGCACAAACTAACTATTCCTGAAGTTCTTCCCATTTCTTCTTGGTCGTTGATACTTTCCTTTTCAATCTACATAAGCTCAGGGCTATGGCCAGCAGGAGTCCATCACCATCTGTGACGTGCATCATAAAGCCATTGCCAGCTTGCTGTTTGGCTTTTCACTGAGTGGACGGCTGCATGTCTGCTTTGCTTTGTTCTTCATTTTGGAGGTAGTGGAAACACACTTAGTGGAGTTCATTGAGCTTCACTTACGGGTCTTGGGCTTTGAGTCACAACTGGCAAAACCTCCTAAGTTCATGGAAGGATCCTAGCTTAGGATTTTCACACCAACGGAGCAAATGATTTTAGTTCACACTTCCTCTTCAGAGTTTGAATGAGTCCCTTAACCATCATATCACTGAGGTGATCCACTAAGGGTGTCACAGGTGTGTGACTGGGAAAAATCTTCCAGGTCTCTAACCCTTATCTTGGGGGCATGGCACACAGAAAGGAAAAAAAAAACTTATATAATATCCATGGCTATTTTTTCCAGGCAAGTAGTCCTGATGCCACCAGTCCTACAGGACCACAACCAAGTGACCAGCATCAGGAGGACAGTGGGAAAGCCCCCAGGGAAAACCCAGGAGACTGGAAGGTGCAATCTCGGAAAAGGACTCAAACGCTCCCTAACCGGAAGTGTTTCCTGACGTCAGCATTCCAAGGCACCAGTAGCAGCAAACTGGAAATCTTTAAAAACGAGTTCTGGTCTTCATCTTCAGAGGCTAAGACAGGGGAAGGGCACAGGAGAACTGTGTCTCAAGACTTGCGCCACCTTTCCAATGACCAGCGGACTTCTACCTATGATAACGTCCCTGCCCCACTAGGGCCCCCAGGGAGTCCAGCAGGTGTACTCTCTCCTCCTGCCTGTGACTCCAAGAGAGACGTTCTTGGCAGCAGGGACTCTGAAATGGAATCTGGAAGCAAGAGCTCTGGAGAGGATGACCTTGACTCTTTGCAGAGGATGGTCCAGCATCTACAAAAGGAGATAGAAACCCAGAAGCACATGTATGAGGAACAGATTAAAAAGTAAGTCCTGTGAGGAGGGCCACTGAGTACACCTGGCTTCTGGGTTTAGAAGGAAGTATATATTTCCTCCACCTTCTAAAATGTCACAGCATATAGTATTTCAGGGGACAGAGCAATCAGTAGCAACAAAACCTAATAAAGGAAAGGGTAAAGGGAGAAGGATTAGATAGGAAAACTCTACCCTGCTGAATAGATCCATGGCAACTTAAAAATGAGACCCAAGTAGACTTAAGGGTGAATATGTTTAGCTGAGTTGAGGAAACTTTCATAATACCTCATATTAATGTATGTTTTCAGGGCTGACCATCTGGTATTGGATGACAATTGGCGTGCTCTTCTCCTGGGGAAGACTATTTCTCCCCTCTCAGCATCCCTCAGTTGCCTGTTGTTCTTTTTGTAGGTGTGAAGCCTATGGGCCCTTCCCCATTCTCTTTGGCTTGCCTGTGTTTGGGTAGTCATGTTGGTGAGGCTTATGGGTTTAGCTTCTGAGTGCTTGGAGACGTAATCAGAAAACAATCCTCTGGCTCTTATAATCTGTCCACTCCTCCTTCTCCAGTGTTCCCTGAACCTTAGGTGTGGGAATGTTTTGTAGATGTATCCACTAGGAGCAGAATCCATAACTCTGCATTTTGATTCGTTGTGGTTTTATGTAATGGTCTTTGTTGCAAAGAGAGAAGTTTCCTTGATGAGGGGCCAAGACTACACTTATCTGTGGGTGTAAGGATAGATTAGATAGTTGTTAGGGATTACGCTGGTTTAGTAAAGTGGTGGTTGTAGGTTCTATTCCAAGATCCACAACTTCGCTAATCCTGAAGTTAGCTGGGTTTCTGTACCAGGCATGGTTTCCCTGTTGTTGAATGGGTCTTAAGGCTCCTTAGCGGCTGGTTACCACCAACAAATGAATGCCATTACTACATCCTTAAGGTTGTCAATCCATGCTGGTCATTGTTGTGGTTTGTTCCTCGTTCTTCTCCCTTGGCAATTCTTTCTCAGAGAGGCAACTTTAGTCCAACTTGCCCCACAGGAACACCTGTCATAATGAGACTAATGGGCTTTCATATTTATGGATACTTCTATTAAGATTTAGATACCAGAAAGAAAGGCTATTGTAAGTCTCCATCAATTAATTGTTCCATACAGAGGATTGGCTCTCAAGCAAAACATGTCCTTTGTGTGAGAACATGAAATCAAACACTAGACTTATAAGACTTCTGTGATACCTTATCATGGAGCAGATCAGTCCCAGAAAAGGCTCTTATTGTGCCCTAGCCTGAATTGCAGAGCAGGAAAGGACCGACGACCATAGAGATGTCTGGTCCTCCAAATACAGCAGTCTCTGAGAGGCAGGACAATTAGCAGCATGACAGTGCCTTCTAATTGAATCCACATAGGGGTGCCCCATTTATCAGAACATTCAGGAGCCCCAGAAGTATCAAAGTATTCTTGAAGGCCACACAGTTGATTTTTGTGCAGTTGGGTTTGAACCTCGAACCCAGGTCAGTCTGGCTCTCAAGTCCTGTTGATTCTACTCTCTACTGCAATCAGTGTCAAGATCCAGCACAGCATCTCACTCATGTTCTCCCCGAGCCAGAAGAGAATGGGAAGCTGGGAAAGAAGACTGAATTTGGAATGCCAGGGTCTAAAGAAATGAGAAAAATTACTGTAGGAAGAGAAAGACAAAGGGGCAGGCAAGGCTCTGAGGGGAGTGTTCCACATAGAGACAGCGGCAGCTCTTGAACACAGAACCTGAGACATGGGCTTAGATGACAACTTATGTCTGCAGATGAGCACAGGCAGGCTACTCAGGGAAGATGGGGAATAGCACTCACAGAATGAGCTTGGGAGGAGGGAGCACTCACAGAATGAGCTTGGGAGGAGGGAGCACTCACAGAATCACCTTGGGAGGAGGGAGCACTCACAGAATCACCTTGGGAGGAGGGAACACTCACAGAATGAGCTTGGGAGGAGGGAGCACTCGCAATCACCTTGGGAGGAGGGAGCACTCACAGAATCACCTTGGGAGGAGGGAACACTCGCAGAATGAGCTTGGGAGGAGGGAGCACTTGCAGAATGAGCTTGGATTGAAGGAGGAGCACTCACAGAATCACCTTGGGATGAAGGAGGAGCACTCACAGAATGAGCTTGGGGAGGAGAGAGGCAGCACCCAATGGATGAAATTGTGAAGCAGATTCCAACCACGCAACCTGTGTTTCACCCATAGATCAGAAATTTCCTCGTTATGCTTAAATAATGGACTGTGTCCACTCATTCCTAAGGTTTGGTTCCACATAGCTTGGCAGGACACCTGGGCTGTAGTAGAATTTTAGCCAGTAGCAACGAATGTCATGGGAATCTAGGAAGCCCATAGTTCATCCACCTGGAGCAGGATTTAAAATTGCAGTGGGACCCCAGGGTCCCTAGCTCCCACAGTGTGTTTCTCTTTGCTTTACCCAATCTTGATCCTAGGGGGTTCTTTGCTAGGAAAGGTTCTGGCCCAGGCTGTCCACTGAAGCAAGGTAAAGAGCTACCATGCACACAGAGATGTTGTGGATCTAGAATGTGGAGCATCCGTAACCTTAGCTGAACTAGCCAAACACGGGGGCTGCAAGACAGAAACACAGCTCTGTTACAGGTGGCCCCTTCCTTCAAATAGTTTGTCTGGTTAAAGATAGGACATGATACATAAAGTGACATGAAACACAACAACAGGAGAGGTGTCACTGGGGTGTTAAGTGAGGCCCTGAAGTGCCTTGGGAATTCAGGTCTTCTCCTGGAACAAAGGACATACTGTATGAGGCAGTAGCTAGATTGGCACTTCACCAATGGGCATTGAATGTCTCAGAGAGGCAAATGAACAAAAGCTTGTGAATGCAGGTGAAGGCTGTGAAGGAAAGGCTTCAGAATTAACACTCTGGCGTTCCTTTGATTTGCCTTGCAGCCTGGAGAAGGAGAACTATGATGTCTGGGCTAAGGTGGTGAGGCTCAATGAAGAGCTGGAGACAGAGAAGAAGAAGTTCGCAGCCCTGGAAATCAGCCTTCGAAATGTGGAGCGCTCCCGGGAGGACGTTGAGAGGAGGAACAAGGTATTGGAAGAAGAAGTCAAGGAGTTTGTGAAGTCAATGAAGAAGCCAGAGACAAAGACCGAGGCTTGAGGTTCTGGGATGTGTGGCAGGGACGGTCAACTCCATTTCAGTTCTCCATGCTCCTGATGACTGGGAAGCAGAGTCACCTCCTAAGATGGACCAGATATCTGAGGGGAGCGCTACAGTGCTCAGCAAACAAACAGAAGATGGTGTGTGGGAGCACAGCAGGGCACTTGTGACCATACTCAAGGGACTGTGGGAAGAGCGAACTGGGATCTTCCAGTGTATGACCAGGTCCAAAGGAGACATTTAAGGTGTGTGGCATCTCAGGACCCAGGCCAGAGCTAGGCCAAGGCCTCAGGTCTTTGTTTTCTATGTGGCTAACCTGCCTGGTCAGATGACTGGTTAGCTCTGAGACATGCGCAGAACATGACGCTTAACTCTCAAGTACGAACTCAATGAGGACTCTCTGGGGAGGCTGGGCTGTTGGAACCAGAATCATAACAATGAGGTGTATTTATGAAAACAAAATTGGGGAGAAATTTATGTTCAAATAAACAAAAAGGAAAACAAAAAGTGAGCAAGGATATTGACAATCTATCAAACACTTTCATAAGAATTAGTAAAGGTGGCTGGAGAATTAGCTCAGTGGCTAAGAGCACTGACTGCTCTTCTAGAGGACTCAGCACCCACACAGTGGCTCAAAACTATCTGTAACTCCAGTTCCAGGGGATCTGTCACCCTCTTCTGGCCTGAGGGCACCAGGCATGCACATGTACATTCATACAAGCCAAACACCCATACACATAAAATACATAACTAAATATAAAGGTGGATAAATAAAACAGTAACAATAACAACAAAAAGAAAAGAATTAGGAACGGACACCTCTTGGTTGAAGCAGGTGAGTCTCTCTCACAGTACATGGCTGTGTGAGCAGAACTTATGCTGGGCTACCCTCCAATGGCCCAAACTATGTCTGGAAAGCCTAAGAGCAGAGGGTTCTCACTGTGGGGTGACCTGAGGAGTATGGATCTGTATATCAAATTGTCAAGATTATTCATTTATATTATTATTACTATTATTATTTTACTTCACCAAAATGAAAATGAGTTTACTCTTTAGAGAGGCATCTGGCATTATTCTCTGTATGTTTTCTTAACCATGGCTAACACTGCCTGCCTTTGGCTATGGTTAGTTGTTCAAAGTGTAAAAAGTTAAGATAGGAGAGTTCTACCACCCCCAATGCCCTGATGGAGGGCGTATGTGGAGAGCATCATATTTGAGACCTGCTTGCAGAAGACAGGGAAGAGGGTGTTAGGGCATTTCTAAGATCAGTAAGGGCTTATGATGGGCCTTGGTGGGTAACAGCACCTACTTACAGACTTGATCCACTTGAAAGAGATCCCTGGTACCTATATGCTGGAAGGAAAGACCCAATTCCCCAAAGTTGCCTCTGACCTCCACATGTTCATGTGCCTGCGCGCGCGCGCACACACACACACACACACACACACACACACACACAGATACATGCAGATAAACACACAGGCACACACACAGATACACACACCAACACCAGATATACACAGACACACACACACACATATGCACAGACATACACATAGATAGGCACACAGACACACATATAGACACAAGACACACACACACACACACACACACACACACACACACACTAAAGTAAGAAGAGCAGTATAACATTTGGCTTCTTAGGAACTACTCATTTATAAATTGTAGAGTCACAGGAGTGGTGCCATGTACCGGGCATCGATTTGAATCGATGAGTGCCTGAAGTTGCCTCTGCCAGCACACGTCCTCTTTGTGTGCTGACCGAGTGGAGCATGAAAGTGAGCAGCATCACAATTCCACGGGGGCTATTTTTCTGCAAATACAGTCGGGGGGTCCCTGGAGTCTGTTTGAGGATCTGCAGTATAGGAGATTGGGTTTGGCAGCCTGCAGTCAGGATGGGTGGAAGTACTGTGTTTGAACTCTACCCTCTTATGGCCTAGCAATGCCCTCTTTTCCCACTGGTGTTGAGACAATGGAAGAGCAACGTCAGAAGAACAGGGCACGTGAAAGAGGGCCAAGGACTCACATGTTAGTACTGTCAGGTGTAGGAGTCCTGTCTGCATACAGTACAGAATTATAGCCAATCCTTGTCTCCACCCACAACCCCGCTTTCCCTTGCCCCCTCTTGCATCATGTGCTTAAGCATCCTAGCTCTGCCCTCTGCCTAGCTAGGCTTCCTCTCCCTCACAGTACCGAGCCTGGCACACATCAGTGCATGTTTGTCCTAAGTGTAAGGCAGATGTGGTACCTTCTTTGAAAGGTTACAGACTGGGCGGGACAATTTGTGCCAGGTTTTGTCTGGAACAATCTCCTCCTGGCAGAGATTTTGGGTGGGCTGGGGCAGACCAAGTGTGGCATTGCTAGCACTAAGTCTGCAACATGGGATGTAAGCAATAAACTGACTTTGTTGTTTGATGAACTTCCTTAAGCTCCGCTCAGGGAACCAAGATTCAGGAGACAGCTAGAGACTGATAAGGGAGGAGGACAAAGAGCACAGAGCCTCAGCAAGTGCTGGCCAGGCTCCACAGGTTCATGGGAAGATGCCTGAGTACTCACATTGGGTAAATGTCTGCATTCCACCACTTCCTGTGCAGATACTGGCGAGGACCAGGCCACGTGCTCACTAGGAAGTCAGGGAACACTTGGATGTTAATACTGCAAGTGAAGTATGTGGCCTTTAAATGCATCACATAAGGAAAGGCATTGCCCAGGATAGAGCTCCAGCTCCGCCCATTCCAGGTTGGCATCTACCTGCAGCAGAGAGACAGTTGGGTCCTATGGCTTAGATTCCCAGAGCAGCAGATCCAAAATGTAGTGTGTATGGCAGGTGAGTGTAACTGTGGGTTCCCAGTCAGGAAAACTCAGAATCACAGATTAACTCCTTAGTGATCTAATCCAGCCTGTCCGTTCCATGGACAGGAAAACCAAGGACAGGAGACACAAGCTACCTCACCAGTATTTTCAAAGCAATGAACAAGAAAATTAAGGGCCTACAACCTACAGTTCAGAGATTCTTGACATCTTTCCAGGGGTTCCTTTTCTCTAAACCTCAGTGATGGACTGAAACCCACTGATGTCAGATGCCAAGAACTTGCAGAATACAATGGTGGCCTCAGCTCATGGTCACAGCTGAGACCTACTGACTATGGAGCTGTTCTTGTCACTTCCTTCACATCACCAATGCTGTTCTATGACAGCAGCCCTTAGTGTCAGCCACACACTAGAGTCACTTATGGTCTTTGACAAACATTCTGCTGTTGGGCGCACTGGGTAAAGGCCAGTAATTCCAGCAACAGAATCAGAAGATAAAGGCCCGCTAGAACAACAGATGAGTTCAAGTCTAGCATAGGCAACTTACTCAAAACCTGTCTTAAAAGGAAAGATATAAAAAGAGAGCTGGGGATTCCCTGGGTGGCTGTTGCTTTCTGTATTAGTCAGGATTCTCTGGAGTCACAGATCTTATAGAATGAATCTCTCTTCATATATAGAAAGGGTTTTTATTAGGATGACTTATAGGCTGCAGTCTAAGTCAACAACGGCTGGCTATCAATGGAAAGTCCAGTAGTTTCTCAGTCTACAAGGCTAGATGTCTCAGCTGGTCTTCAGTCTATGCTGGAATCCCAAAGAAGTAGGCTTTAATGCCAGTGAAGGAATGGATTTTCTAGCAAGGCAAGGGCAAATAGGCATGGAGCAAATCCATGTCCTGTATATATAGGCTACCAGCAGAAGGCATAGTCCAGATTAGAGGTGGGTCTTCCCATCTCAAGATCTGGATTAAAGGTGTTTTCTGACTTCACAGGTCAGAAGTAAACCTTCCTAATTCAAATAAAGCAAAATTGCCTCACAAGTGCACCCTTCATTTTGGAGGTTTAGTTAATTCCAGATGTAGTCAAGCTGACAACCAAGAATAACCACCACACTTTCCTAGCATACAAGATGCCCTGCATTCAATCCTGTATACCAGCAACACAACAAAACAAAAATCTGATTCTCAGCTATTGCTCCATTTCCACTGAACCAGAATATTTGGGTGGGTGGGTGTGGGTGGGGAGGGCTGGTGGTGGGCCTAAAGAACTGGCTACTTCTAAAATTCCCAGTTGGTTTTAATTTGTATTTGTAACCAGGACTGGTGAACACGTTTGTAAACTGCTAAGTGTGGGGTGGGTCATGACTGATGATAATATTAAATAGTTCCTCCCTTCTCCTGTCCCCAGTCCACACATATCTGTTTTCTGATCTTTCTTACATGATGGTTTTTGTATTAGTAATTTAATAAATCCCATATATATATACAGATATATATATATATATATATATTCATTTTATAATTTCTATTACTTCAGAGAACCCTAATACAGAAAGTAAAATTTGTAAGGATAAGAGATGCCTAAGAGACAAAGTGGGGATTTATTGTATGTGCACTTCACAGATGGTGAAATCCAACCCCAAAGGCATTAAAAAAATTCAGTACTAATTTAGTCATTGGCAAATGTGGGGATTCTGAGACTCCACTGACAACGGGGTTGTTCAATTTGCTTTGAAATTTGAGTCAATACATCAGCAAAGAAGGTGAGCACTTGTGGTTGGATGTAGAGTCCTGGGGGTAGCTTGATTACAGCCACCCTTTAAGAACCACATTAGAGCAAGAATCCCTGTTGGCAGTCTTGGAATACCCATCATAAGAGCATTGTTACTGGGGGACAGCCTGTAATCATTACCACATTTATGTTAGCATCTTCTGAGCAAAGTGTGACAATTCTTATTACCAACTTGATAGGACATAGATTTACCCAGGACACAAACTTCTGGGCTTGTCTGTGAAGGAGTTTCTATGTTGGGGCGAGGTGGGAAGAACCACCGTACACGTGGAGGCCTGGACTGAGTACAAAGGAGAAAGTGAGCTGAGGATGAGGGTTCATCTCTCACTGCTTCCTGGTTGCAATGTGAACAGCTGCCTCACGTCACCACCACAACTTTTCCATGACAGTGAACGACACCCTCAAACTATGAGTCAAAATACACCCTCCTTTCCTTCTGTCAAAACAGTAAGAAAAATACTCCAAACAGAAAGGTCAGACTGTAGTAGGGTGGAAGAGCCCATTTGCCTCAAGCACATCCAAGAATTGGTGGAAGCTGTGACCCTGACTTCCTTTCTATCCTCTGTTGCCCCATTGTTGATGTCCTCTGTGTCCTACAGAGATTCACCATGCTAAACTTATCCAGGTTCTTACTTGGCAACTGTCCCAACATCTTAACAATGACTGCCATTAACAAGCAGTAGGCACTGTGCTCTCCAGCAGGCTTGGTGCAGAGCATTTTATACATTGGTCTCCCTCAGCTCTCAGATTTTATATATACACAGACACAGACACAGACACAGACACAGACACAGACACAGACAGACAGACAGACACACACACACACACACACACACACAGAGTCTATTTCAACACAGCAGGGCTAGGCATTAAAGACACATGTCTAATTTGT